TCTTCCTCTGGGTCTCCTCCCCGTGGGACGTGCCCAGAACACCTCACCAGGGAGGCATCCAGGAGGCATCCTAACCAGATGCCCGAGCCACCTCAACTGGCTCCTTTCGACATGGAGGAGCAGCGGCTCTACTCTGAGTCCCTCCTGGATGACTGAGCTTCTCAGCCTATCTCTAAGGGAGAGCCCAGACACCCTGCAGAGGAAACTCATTTCAGCCACTTGTATCTGCAGTCTAGTTCTTTCGGTCACTGCTCAAAGCTCGTGATCATAGATGAGGGTAGGAACCTAGACCAACCAGTTAACTGAGAGCTTCGCATTTTGGCTCAGTTCTCTCTTCACCACAACAGACCGGTACAGCGCCCACATCACTGCAGATGCAGCACCAGTCCGCCTGTCGATTTCCCCTTCCGTTCTTCCCTCATTCGTGAACAAGACCCCGAGATACTTAAACTCCTCCACTTGGGGCAGGACCTCCTCCCCGACCTTGAGAAGGTACCCTATCCTTTTCTGACTAAAGACCATGGTCTCGGATTTAGAGGCACTGTTTCTCATCCCAGCCGCTTCAACCTCAGCTGTGAACCGCTCCAGTGAGAGCTGGAGATCAGGATCTGATGAAGCCAGTAGGACCACATCATCCACAAAAAGCAGAGATGGGATCCTAAGGTCACCAAAACGGATCCCCTCAACACCTTGGCTGCACCTAGAAATTCTGTCCATAAAAGTTATGAACAGAATCGGTACAAAGGGCAACCTTGGTAGAGTCCAACTCTCACCGGAAATGAGTCCGACTTATTAACAGAAATGCGGACCGAGCTCTGGCATCGGTCGTACAGGGACCTAACAGCCCGTATCAATGGGCCTGGTACCCCATACTCCCAGAGTACCCCCAACAGGAGTCCCCAAGGGACATGGTCAAAAGCCTTCTCCAAGTCCACTAAAAACATGTAGACTGGTTGAACTCCCATGCACTCTCCAGAGCCCTCCTGAGGGTGTAGAGCTGGTCCACTGTACCACAACCAGGATGAAAACCACACTGCTCTTCCTAAGTTTGAGATTCGACTATCTGATGGACCCTCCTCTCCAGGACCCCTGAATAGACCTTACCAGGGAGGCTTAGAAGTGTGATCCCCTTGTAGTTGGAACACACTCTGCGGTCCCCCTCTTTAAATAGGGGGACCACCACTCTAGTCTGCCAATCCAGGGGAACTGTCCCCGATGTCCATGTGATATTGTAGAGTCACGTCAATCAATGCAACCCCACAACATCCAGAGGCATGAGGAACTCTGGGCGAATCTCATCCACACCCGGCGCCCTGCCATCAAGGAACTTTTTAACCACCTCAGTGACCACGGCACCAGAGATTGGAGAGTCCAACCCAGGGTCCTCAGGCTCGGCTTCCTCATGGGAAGAAGTGTCGTGGGATTGAGGAAGTCTTTGAAGTATTCTGCCCACTGACCCACAACATCCCGAGATGAGGCCAGCAGCTCACTATCCCCACCACAGTCAGTGTTGGTGGCACACTGCTTCCAGAGTCCCACAGGCCAAAATGATCTGATAGGTCTCCTTCAGCCTGACAGCATCCGTCACCACCGGTGTCCACCAGCAGGTTCGAGGGTTGCCACCATGACAGGCACTGACAATCTTATGGCCACAGCTCAGGTAAGCTGCCTCCACAATGGAGGCATGGAACATGGCCCACTCGGACTCAATGTCCCCCACCTCACCCAGAACATGTTCAAAGTTCTCCCGGAGGTCTGAGTTGAAGCTCAGTCTGACAGGAGACTCTGCCAGATGTTCCCAGCAGACCCTCACTATACAGAACACCTCACCAGGGAGGCGTCCAGCAGGCATCTTAACCAAATGCCCGAGCCACCTCAACTGGCTCCTCTTGACGTGATCCTCGGCTACAGAAGTTATTTATTTGATTTGGTTTAGTTCTGAGGTCATGAACTTGAGTGAACGCTCAGCCACTGTTCATGATTACAGCTTTTCATAAAACCTATTTTGTAAATTTACCAGAGGAAGAGCTTCTCTCATGATTTTGATTTAAGTGTTAAACACTCCAGCAACTATCTGATAACACTACTGTTTCACTAGTGACTCACTAGGGGTGTCCTGTAACCAGTAGGTTGCCGGTTTGATCCCCTGTTCCATCCATCTCAATCGTTGTGTCCTTGGGCAAGACACTTCACCTACCTTGCCTGCTAATGGTGGTCAGATGGTCTGGTGGCGCCGGTGCATGGTAGCCCTGCCTCTGTCAGTGTGTTCCAGGACAGCTGTTGTCTGTAGCCTACCACCATCAGTGTGTGTGAATAATAATAATAACAACAACAACAACAATAAAAACTAGAACTGCAAAGCAGTTATGACCGGGGTCCAAGCCCTTTTATGCATGTCAGCCTTTGTCATGTTGTTTGTAGCATATTGTTGATCTTTTAGCTTCTTGGACAAATTTCTCTCCAACAAACGCAGTAAATAAATAAAATTTGAGAAGTTTGAGTATCAGAATTGTTTGTTATATACTAGCTCTGTAGGTCAAATGTATGATTT